CTGCCCGCCGCTGCACCTATTGTCGGCCCGGATCGATCTTATAAATACGGCGTTATGTACGAAGCGAGCATTCATAAATAAATATAAAACATGTCCAATAAATCGTTTGTCAATGTATCACGAGTTAGATGATTTGTAGCGCGATATGATGTGATCAAAGTAAAGAATAGTTGACACAGCGAGCGCCAGCGAAGATCACATCCATCTCTTAACCATTTTCAGTGAATCTGACCCATCGCCAGGCACTAGGGGTGAGCCGAAGGCGTGTGTTGTGCCGTGTAGAGAATGTTGTCACTTAGTGTCGTGGCCTTAATACACCGAAGGTCGTGGGGCATTGACTGTTGGCAGTATGAGATGCACCACCAGCCCCAGCTATCGACCTTCGCCCCGAGCTACTCTGCCGTCGGATCAAGCTCCGAAACTAGGATTCTAAAAAGCTTTTCACAAAAGCACGGTCGTTTCAGGGTTTCTGAAGGTGTAAGAAAAATTCACTGAAAAGATCAGACACGATACAATTGGACAGATTTCCTTATCTATATATTGTAAAAAGCATAACACTTTTTCATCGATAGATAAAATCGCTGTAAAATCTTGAGCACGATGAAATCACGAGCTCATCAGTAATAAAAAAAAAATTGGTAAAAAAGAAACTATCGAAAGAAAGAGCAGCTTTCTGACAGCTATTAAATGTGTGGGCAAAAAGGTAATCTGTCGTCGAGAACTCAAGGAGTCCGGAGTTTCGGCTGTAGCTCAGCGGGCGCGGGCGGCCGCGGGCGTGCGGCCTCGCGGTTGTAATTTTAACAAGTTTTCCGTGAAGAGCACATAAAGATGTCGCGCGCACACATGCCGGCCGACACGCTCCCGAGAACCTATAAATTTTATCGCATTAGCGGAGATGCGGCGGCGCCCCGCGGCGCGCACGGCACGACGTCCCGTCCGCAGACAGAGGCAGCCCGGCCGCCGCCCCGCTGTCTCCCCGCCGTCTTACCACTCGCCTCAGAGTCACAACACCAACATGTGTTTCCTAATCCGTTTGTGTGTTTGGATTAGTGGAGTCAAAACATTTCCCAACTTTTGTCATCGCGAGGACATACGGGCAGTGCGTTGTTTTTGTGGGTATCTTTTTTATATTAGTAGTACACAAGCAAGCGGCTACTTGGTATCGTTGAAATAGCGAAGTGACCGCAGCCCATTGACATCTGCAACGAGCAGCAACATATGCGTTTCTTACTTTTGACAGAATGTACAGTAAAAGGATAGTAGGATGACTAGAATTGAGATTCCAACCGACACCGTCCGACTTACCTGATCTGTCTTCTATGAGTAGGCGCGCTCCGACAATGAAGCCGGCCGATTTTGCAGAAGATGCAGGCTCTACTGTTCGTTTAAAAAGGTTGTCCTAAATACTATAATTCACGACGAACTGATACCATAAAATTCTTTATATGCTTGTAAACGTCCCGTGCAATGACGTGAGAATTATATTAGAAAACATAGAAGTATCGAAACCCCCTAGAGCCGAATGCGCTTCTGTCGTTAATTATGTTGTGAATGTTGTAAACACATATAAGAATTGGCAATTATAAACCAAAATTCTTCTTTAACTACGGAGTTTTATTTTGTATGTACGGATACTCCGTACACAACATGTTGGCGTTTGAAGCTGGCCTTTGCTCGAGCCCGTGCCGCACTTGTGGAGGGTTTTAATAGACGAACTTATAAATTGCCCAAGCGATGAGTGTCAGCACATGACGTCACGCGTACCTGCCGCCTCCCCCTCCCCCTCCTGCCCCCGTGTACAATACATTACTCACCCAACGTGACCCTTTATCTAGAAAGCTAGTGCAAAAGATTGTGGCTATTGTAGCGGCGAATGACGAGCCTCGGAAATAGATAATGACTCGTGTTCCGGGAATGCGAGCCTCAGGACCTACGATGTCCCACCGCCCGAGCTGCGCCGACTGCACCGTGATGCCGGCCTCGCCTCATCACCTGATACCGCACCTTGTATCGCACTACCTGCTCATAATGCTTATACAAAATGCATTACAAATTAAAATGTACATTGTTCTAATTAATTTACTAAAATTAATTTTTCCCTGAAATTATAATAAATATCCCTAACATCTTTACAACTGTGCTTGCTTGAGCACGGCTCGCAACATACAGACCGCGGCCGCGAGCCGCCTTTCTGGACATCTCTTGTGCCGCAGCTGCTGCTACCGTTAATTCTGTAATAAATTTTATCGGATCTGGAACGGCCGCTGTCCAACACACAAGGTGTCGGTATTGGAATGGTATCGACGTCGACTTCGTGCTATGTTGTAGGTAAGTATATAAGCAATTTACAAAAGGCAGTTGAACTAAAACTGTAACAAGTAACGAGCTAATTAATTGAAGCGTGAACGGCTGTGCTCGTGCGGCCCGCTCCCCGCCCGGCCCCCGCGCGCGCCCCACGTCGCCGCCGCTCGGACCTCGTTGCAAACATCAAACAATAACATTTCCATTCCATCGATAAACAGTTCGCTGGTAAGTGGGACTGGCTGCGGGGCGTGAGGGACGCGCGGGGGACGGACAGAGGGCGGTTAAATAAATAAGATATTAATATTTCGAAGCGCGGAGCGGAGGTCATGCGTTATCAGCCGTGCCCCGCCGCCCGCACCGCCCTGCGCCGCCCCGTACCGCGCCGCGCCGCCCCGCGCCGCGCGACTCCACGAGCGCACGCTTCATTCAATTCTAACGAGTAAATCGCACTGCGATCTATTGCTCTATCGCTGATTATAATGATCGCTTGTCGCTGCTAGAGTCGAGGGGCGAGTGCGGTGGTGCGGGGGCTGGTGACGAGCACCTGTGGTCTGTTCTACGACACTGCAGTTCTGCACGTTGCAGCTAACTCAACAATTGGGGACAACTTGCGCGACGCTGGAATTTCGGAGTAATGGAGGAAAATCCACATGTTTTTTTAATCACAAATCAAATTGCCAAGTTGGGAATAACATCTTTGTATTAATGATATAAATTACATATAGAAGCAATAAAATTACAACGGTCTCGAATGTAAGACATTGTGCGGTCGCAATGTTGCCGCGGTTGGGATTACTTAAATTCATGTCAAGACATTACTGCTTGAAAATATGAAAATATATTCTATTTCCCGTGACGTTGTCCTCGTGGCGATTATAAGTCTGGAACAACCTTAAAACGTTTTTTTTTTTAATTCTGAAAGACCCACCTTGACTTACGTAGTAATATTACTTTTTTATTCTAAAAAGAGTTTACAACCATTTACCAACATTAACGAAACAAGGTTATTATGGTAACGGTAACTTCGACACTTGTAATTGAGAATTTGACAAATGAAAACAATGAAATAAAGTTTTTATAATTTGGTGCGGATGAAGCCGCACGGGAAGAGTAGTAACCTCCGAGTACCACGCAGTAAAAGAAATGCAAAAAAAAATTCAAGTATCTTGGGCACTTACGCTGTGATAAATAGTTCTAGGTACAAACTTTCACCCCGTAATTAGGCTATTACTGGATACATTTTATAAAGTCTGAATACGTAGTTAATTATCTATTGTGGATTGTGGGAAGTGTTTATTTTTGTATGTATTTTGCATTTCGTTTAACATTAGGTAAACAAGACATCAGTTAATAGCTGAGGTCGTTACGCACTAATGAGAAGTAACCGGCGACGGCAATACATGATGCATAAACTCAATCGCAGCCACTTGTTGAAACTTTTAAATGTTCACTTTAATTTGATGGGTCCAGTAATTCTGACATCACATATGTTTTTGTGCATGGAAGGGAGTTTCAGTGACAGGCGTTAGTGCAAACAAGCTAGCAAAATAGTTTTAATTTGAGAAGATTATTAAAAAACAACACAAATATGAATATGAGCGTCATAAAGTCTCATCTTTACTAATATTATAAAGAGGAAAGTTTGTGTTTTTGGATTCCTGTATGTATTGAAATAACTCAAAAACTACTGAGTTGATGTTAGAAATATTTTCACCGTTAGATAGGTAATTAATCTGTGAATAATATAGGCGATGTTTATTTTTTTAATTTAACGCAGACGAA